GAATGGGAGCCAGAGTGCAGTCACGGCTGCTGCTTCCTTACCACATTCTCTGAGGCTTAACTCAGTAACACCAGGAGAGTCGCTATCCTCGGTGCCCGAGGCTCCTGTGAAAGAAAGTCCTCGTCTTCACCCCCAAAGACCATCGCTCGGTCCCCTCCCCTGTCGGAGGGAAGACAAGGTGCCCACCTTTTCTGCTGACGCTGTGCCCGGAGGATGCTCTGGTGCCCAGGTGCCTCAGCCTCTGTCCAGAGGAGGGAGAGCAGCCCTTCAGTGCATCTGGGCAGCTGGTCTTGGTCCTGAGGCAGGCCCCCGCCCACCCGCCCTGCGTCTCCTCCTCTCTGGCTCCTCTGAGGCGATTGACGACCCACAGGCAAGGAGGAGCCAGGAAGAGGAGCTTAAGCCGGAGCTCTGGACCTCAGGGGCCCGCCCTGGACCTCAGGGGCCCGCCCTGGCTCTGTGGACTTGCAGGGGAGGGGAGAGGAAGCTCTTTGCTGACACTCCACAGGGACTTATGCAGGCAGGCTCAGAGGACAGAGGCCTGCAGACCAGCCTCAGCTGGACTCAGCACGCCCTGACCGGTGTCCTCCCCACTGTAAGGCCCCAAGCTCAGAGCCTGGGGTCTCTAGTGATTGGGACACTGCCTGCCTTCAGCCATCCACCTGGGTGTAGGCAGCCATGCCCACGGGGGAGCGTGGCGTATGACCTGTTCTGAGAAGCCCTGATGGCCCCGGGGACCCCAGGGGGAGCCATCTGTGCAGACTAGAGACTCAGGAGATGCCTCCAGTGAGAGCAGAGGCACAGACAGACGCTTGCACGCCTGTGTTCACAGCGGCACAATGGCCAGGGCGGGAAGCAATCCAGGTGTCCCTCAGTTACGAACGGACAGGCAGAACTGGCACACACCCATGGGAACGCAACCCAGCCTTAGAAGGCCATTCTGACAGGTGCCACACCGGGGTGAGCAGGAAGGCACCAGGCTGAGCGAAGCTAGCCTGCACTAGTGGACCACACTGCCCACTCGTGCGAAGTGTGACAGCGGCCAAGCTCAGGGCTGTGGCCAGCATCTGGGCGCTGGGGAAAGGGAGTTAGTGTCAGTGGGGAGGGTTTCAGTTGTGCAGGACGGAAAACTCCGGAATTGAGTAGAGCTGACCCCTGCACATCAGCGGGAAAGGCCCCAGAGCTGAGAACTGGCTCAATCTTGGAGACAGAGGTGGTGACCAAGCTCACGTCCTGCCGTCCTGCACAGCTCACCACAGTCAGACTCACTAGTGTAAGTGCTGCTCAGGAGGGGGCACAAGGCTCTGGAGACCATCTGGCCCAAGAGGACATGAGAAAGCACTCAGTACCAGGACGGTGCGAGTCCCACCCCTGTGAGTGACTTCGCACAAGCATTCTGATGGCTGCCATCCAAGCTCAGACCCAAGTGCTGGCAGGCGGGGGGCACCGTCACTTCTCACACTGCCGGGGGGCCTATAAAGCCTGTTGGATGGTTTGAATTGCACTGGGGTAGCTTTTAATAAGGCTAGATGTATGTCTATCCTTTGACCCAGCAATTCTCCTCCAAAGTATGTGCCCAAGAAAAATGAAAATGTGTCCACTAAACTAGTGCGCCCCAAACGACCACAACTTTATTAACAACTGCCCAAGCCCCAGACAGCCGAAGTGTCCACCCACAGGTGAGTGAGCAGACGCATCACATCCATGAGAAGCTGCACATCACGTATGTGGACGTGATTTGGCCATGCACGGGGGAGCTGCCCAGGCACACAGCGAGGGCGGGTCTTGCAGACGTGGTGGTAATGCTGATCCCAAGGATGTACAGCTGGACCCTGTTCATGTGAGATTCCACAGGAGCAAAATCCAGTGGTGGACACCGACAGAAGTCCGAGCATTCATAGTGTGTGGCAGGGAACAGGGAGTAAAAGCCCCAGAGAGAAGCTTCTGGAATTAAACAAATGTCCTGTGCATTGATGGGCCAGGAGCATGAGTCCCAAAGTTGAACTGAACGTCTAGGACGTGTGCATTTTGACATGTGAACTTTACAGGAAAAGAGCCGGAAACAAACCCTGAGTCCGTTGGCTCTCCTTTCCCACTGGGCTCGCTTTTCTTGTCTTATTTTTTAGGTTTGCTTTTCTTTCTTTCTTTCTTTTTAATGTTTGGTTTTCTTTTCTTATTTTTTAGGCTTGCATTTCTTATTTTTTCTTTAAATACTACCTGTATTTTATATATATACTTTTTATTAGTTCCTTTTGGTTACACGTTACATTGGGATTCACTTTGATGAGACATGATCTGCTCTGATTTGGTCTCCAGAACCCCCCCTCCTTTCTCCCTCCATCCCCCATTCCTCTCCTTTACTCTACTTTTCTATTTTTAAGGTTTGTGTTCTTTTCTTATTTTTTTGGTTTGCTCTCCAAAGTGATATGGGTTAGAAATTCTTGAGTTAGCTTCTGAGTTTAAATCCTGACCAACGACTCAGTCATGGGTAAGAGAGGGCCAGGTTCCCCTGAGGAAGTGAGAGGGGACTGTGGGCTCCACCCTGTGCAGCGAGAGGCACTGGCAGTGAGGGTGCAGGTAGACCTGTTTTGAAATGATCAGACGGAGGGGCACGTGTGTGCCAGGGTGTTTGTGTGTACACATGTTTGCACATGTTCACATGAATGCTGAGTGCACACACGTGTAGCCACATGAACGCATCTGTTTGTAGACACACATGCACACACACACCATCTCTGCCCCCCGACGGACCCAGAGCAGTGACGGCCCCGGCACCACGAGCACAGGAAGCCAGACCTGGCTTCTGTACCCAGCCCTCAGGGAAAGGAAGTTCTGGCACACCCTGCAACATGCCCAAGGCCCGAGGGACAGCACAGAAAGGATCAGAGTGAACCGTCACAGACGGCCATGTGCAACACATTTGAAAGTCAAGAGGCAATTGACTAAATTCCTGGGAACATACAACCTACCAAGATCAAATCAGGAAGAAATGGAAGAACCAAACCCACCGAGAGGTGGAGTAGTGACTAAGGCATCCTAATGAGCAGAGGCTCTATCAGATGGCTTCCTGACCCAGGCCCACCGCACCTTGGTCAGGTCCTTAAACACCTCCCAAAGTGGAGGGACCTTCCAAACCCGGGCAGGCCAGCGTCCCACGATGCCCTGACCCCAAGATGAGCAACGAAAACTGCAGGCCAGCACCCTGCTGAGCACGACACCAACCTCCAGGGCAGCACCACAAGCCAACTTTACCCATTCGCTAAGAAGAGCCTCACCATGGGCTGTCCAGGACACGGCCTGTCCCTGGGGTGCAGCTTGGCTTAAGCACATGCAAGTCAGTCAGTGTGACACTCAACAGATGTGATCAATAGATGCAGAAAACGCATCCTTTCTGGAAAAGGCTGAAAAAAAAACAAAACAAAACGGGTGTAGAAGGAAGTCTTCTCAACCACCAGGAGCTAACATGGTGGTTAGGGGCCACAAGCCTCTCCCGTGGGACCTGTCACCATGGGAGGTCATCCACTCCAGCTGCACTCCTGGAAGCGCTAGAAAGAGCCACCAGACGAGGAAAGGGTGCCCACCAGAAAGGAAGAAGGAAGACAGCCCTGCTTGCATAGGATGCTACTCTTCACATCTAACAACTGTTAGAACCACTAAGTGAATTCAGTAAAGGAGCAAAATACAAACCCACATGTAAAAACCCGTTCTGCTTCTTTACAGAATGATTACCTGCCTCCAAAAGAAACCAGGAAGACAACCTCAGTTGCATCAAAAAGGATAAAATAATAGGGACTAGATTCAACTAAGAAGGGGAAAGATCTATAAGCTGAAAACTGCCACAGATTGATGGAAGAAGTCCAAGAAGGCCCAGGGGACATGGAAAGACACCTGGGTTCAGGAGCCAGACGAAATGAGATTGTGAAATGTCTGCACTTCTCAAAGTGACCCACAGATTTAATGCAATTCCTGTCAGAATTCCAGTGATATATTTCACAGGAACAGAAAAAAATTCTAAAAATTCTTTTGGACCAGCAAGAGCCAAAGGCATGTTGAGAAGGGAGACCAGACTGGAGGGCCGTACTCTCTGGCTTCAGGCTGCAGGACAAGGCTCTGGCCAGCAGAACCGCAGGACGTCTGTCTTTCAGGAGACATAACAGGGCAGACCCTGCCTGTCTAATGGTGTGGGTGGCCTGGGGACGTCCTGCTGAGTGAAGGAGCCCAGACCCAGACGACAGTACCAGGTGGTCTCACTCACATGGGAGTCTAGGGCATTGCTCCACAGGGGAAGAGTGAGTGTCCAAGGGGCCTGTAGGGACCAGGAGAGACGCCCATCTGGGAACACATCGAGTGACTTCAGGGTGAAGGCTCTGGACCTAGCTCACAGCACTCTGAAACCGCATGAGAGTGGGCGTTAGGCTTGGCTCCAGGAGGCAGGGCATGGACTGGCACTGGTGGCCGAGGTGACCGTGTGCACTCTGCGGTCCATCAGAGCACCCACAAACACCTCGAAAACACACAGTGCTTGTCACCCACGCCTCAGTGACGGTGAAGAAGTCAACAGAATGAAAATCAAAAGGTTTTCAACACCTTTGCTTGGTTTTTTATTGCACCTATACCTTGGTTCTATTTCCATGTCACAAAATCCACTTATTTTCAGGTCACCGAGTTTATCTCATAACTAATGTAATATATTTAAATCCCTAGGACTGGACACTGGGCTTTTCCTGACGTTTTCATGCACACGAGGAGCACGCCCACCCTGGCCCCTGGCGTGTTACCCCTGTTCTGGGGACACACCGACCCGCTGGGTGGAAAGGACGGTGTTCACTCCGCTTCTCGGCAGTGAGCTGAGACCCTCCCCCTGGGCGGCCGCGGACACGTCCTCTGGCCACCCCTTCCCCGCGGCCTCGGCTCGGCCGCCCTCGGTGGCTCAGGCTGACGTCGTCCATGTGGACTCAGCGCCTGGGAGACCCTTCCTCCAGCCTGGCCTCTGGTTTCCCAGGTCACCGCTGGTGCTGGGCCCAGGAGGACTGGAGGCGGGGGAGAGCCCCGGGCCGGGGGGCGGCGGGGTCACGGCCGCGGAGGGTCCTGCGCAGCGCCGCGTGGACCTCCCTGTTGCGCAGGCAGTAGATGACCGGGTTGCACAGGGGCGTGGCCACCGTGTAGATGACCGACAGCACCTTGTTGAGGTCCACGGACTTGCTGCGGCTGGGGCGGGCATAGATGAAGATGGTGACGGAGTAGAAGATGCCCACCACCACCAGGTGCGAGGCGCAGGTGGAGAGGGCCTTGCGGCGGGCGGCCGCGGAGGGCATGCGCAGCACCGCCCTCCCGATGGCCACGTAGGAGGCCAGCGCCACCAGAAGGGTCCCGCAGAAGATGACGATGGCGGAGATGAAGTCCACCAGCTCCGTGAGGGCCACGTGGGTGCAGGAGAGGTTGAGCAGGGGGGAGACGTCGCAGAAGAAGTGGTTGAGCACGTTGGGGCCGCAGTAGGACAGGCTGGCGATGCATTTAGTCTTGACGGCAGAGACCACCAGCCCCCCTACCCACGAGGACAGGGCTAAGCCCCAGCAGACCTGGGGCCGCATTAGCAGCGGGTAGTGCAGAGGGCGGCAGATGGCCACGTAGTGGTCATAGGCCATGGAGGCCAGGGGGATGCACTCAGTGCCCATAAGGACTATGAAGAAGAAGAGTTGGGTCATGCAGGCCACAAAGGAAAGGTGGTAGGGTCCCACCCACAGCCCCAGGAGCAGGGTGGGCATGGTGACGGACACGTAGCACATCTCCAGGCAGCTGAGGTTGCCCAGGAAGAAGGACATGGGCTTGCGGAGCTGGCTGTGGCTGCAGATGAGGGAGACGATGAGGGTGTTCTCCAGGAGGGTCAGCAGGTAGAGAGCCAGGAAGACGGCAAACAGGACGTCCCTGTCGCCCAGCCTGGTGGACAAGCCCAGCAGGATGAACTGCTGGACCCTGGTCACGTTGGCCAGCTCCGGGGACGGCTCCATCTGTGTGGAGACAAAGGAGACTGCTGATATCCGGCTGCAGAGGCATAATAGTGAGAACGTCATTGCAAGGTGTCCACAGTGGCTAGAGGCCCTGGTGACCTGTCCACTGGTCTTGTGTTAGAAATTGTTGCGAGAGAGAAGCTGTAAGCTCAGGAGACAAAATCTAAACTCAGTTACCCAAGTTAATTGTCTTAGTAAATATGACTTTGGAAAGAATCTGACCATCAGAACCTGGGGAGAATAACATTTGCTTTCCATGAAATTAAGGGAAGGGATAGATTAAAATTTACTGCAAGAAGTTAGAATTATTCTCTTTTTCAAAATTAAAAAAAAAATTTAAATTATAGATGGATTTTTTTACAATACCTTTATTTTATTTATTTATTTTTATGTGGTGCTGAGGATCAAACCCAGGGCCTCATACGTGCCAGGCGAGTGCTCTACCACTGAGCCACAACCCCAGCCCTAGAATTATTTTCATTTCAGCTTTTTGAAAAACAACAACAAAAACAAACAACCCCCAACACCTAAAACCTGTTCTTCCACCTTACATGTTATGTTCGTCTTCCACCCACCAGGTTGGAGTATTCTCTACAATGCAGAGTTGGTCAAGATGTCAGATGGCTCATTCTTCAACATTCCTCATCTCTTGGGTGGTATTTCCTGGATCTGAATCGTGCTCTGGATCACAGATGGTTGTCAAGACGGCAGAAGGGCCGTTGTCCTGCTGAGGGACAGACCCTCCAGGGGGAGGATGGAGAGTCCACGGTCACACACACTTCCCTGCCATCTGCACCCCAGTCCACCGGGGAAGCTGAGCCCCAGAGGAACTGCCCCTATGCACGGGGCCGACTCTGACCACAAAGACCTCTAGGATTCTTTGAGTCAGGACCTGTCCTTGCTACTCATTTTCATTCTTGGTTCTGTTTGTGGAACAAGCGGAAGTCAGCTTCCCGGCTTGCGGTCCTGGGCAGTGGGCTCACCGGACTGAGCCCGGCGGCTTCCTGGACCTGACTTGAGCCCCGTGCTGATTCCATTGCATCATGTTGTCACCCGCAGCACAGAAACCAGGACTCTCCCGAGCAAGATGGTGACGGGGACCGTCTGAGTGGGGAGGAAGTCGCCCTGGGTGCCTGGGAGCCTGCCTCCTCCTCCGCAGTTCTCACAGGTGGACTTTCAGCTCTGCAGGTATTCTTTCTGCGGGTGAAACTCCCCGATTCCTTTGGCCACTTCCCACACTCCATGAGGATCACATTTCCTCAGAGCCCAGCGGTCTCCTCAGGGGACACTGCCCTGGCTTCCCCAGGCATTTCCCTGAGCCAAGTCCAGCTGAGGATATCTGGGGCTCTACCTCTGGACTTGGGCCCAGACCCCGAGGTGATTGACAGTCTGACAGGCCTGGCTCACGGCCCCCTGCGGGGCAGGCTGGGCCCCCACCTCCCTCACTGCTCCATCTCTTCCTTGCTCTTAAGCAGTAGGCGCTCTATCTGTGCCTAATTTATTATAGGGCAAGACATTTATAGGAAAGTGTTCAAGTAAAGGTCGCCCTTGTCCCTGACACCAGATGACAGCTGCCGTCTCCTGGGTGCACCTTGGGGGATAGCTCCCAACACATAGCTGTGGGGTCTTGGCAAACGCCCGCATGTTCAACTCCTCCCTCTTCACTAACAATTTATCTTGAAAAGAGTTCTTGTCACCGTGGAGCTGACCTCCAGGACACTGTGGAGATCACAGAGCGGATCTAAGGCCCCTTCCAGCCCCAGGTCCCAGCACTGCACCTGGCACAGAAACCACAGTTTCATAAAAATCAATGAACCCGTGGGAGGATGGAACCTGACAAGCACCCGAGCGTCATACTTATGTTACTGAAGAGACGAGGGTTTGGGGCCATTTAAGACACCTGCACTCTGTGTGCCTTGCCCGGCTCAGGATGCCCGAGGTCATCTCACTCACTCTCCACAAAGCCCTGGTGAGGTAGGACTTACAGAGCCTCAGATGGCCAGAGCATGCCGGGCACCAAGGGATTGCTTGAATTTCAGTGGGTTTCAGATTCCACAGGAGGAAACAACTTATTAAATAAAAGCACAATTCAAGCGCGGTTCCAGGAGTAGTGGAGGCTGCAGGGGTGGGGGCCACCTGAGTTCTGGCCACCAGGGAGGCTGCAGGTGGAGACGTGGAAGATGTGGAGGGTCACGAGATGCAGCGGGCAGAGAGTGCGCTGTGGGTGGGGGCAGAGCAGGCGGAAAGGGCCTGGCCCCGTGAGGTCAGAGCAGGTGCAGGTGGTTTCAGGGTCCGCTCACTCGCAGCTGCAACAGAGGCGGCCTGGCCTGCGCTCCGCGGCCGCGCCAGGGATCTTGTGCGCCATTGTTTCACCAGCTCTCAAGGACCTTGTGAGAATGCTGCCGTTTTCCTTATTTTAGGAGGAAAGTGACTGAAGGTCAGGAGGTGAAGCCGTGGGTCCTGAGTCCTGGCCAGTGAAGGAAGTGGGAACAGAAGGCACAGGATTTCTTGGGGCACACAGGCACCCCGCCCCGGTCACAACAGTGTTCCTGCTGAGGACAGCCACGTGGCGGGTAATGGTAAGAGCCCGCAGCAGGCGCTCTCTGGGCCAAATGCTTTCCAGACGGAGCTGCTGCTGCTGTGGGTCCAGGTGCAGGTGAGCCAGGCTCAGAAGCCAGCAGCCCCCGCGCTGCCGCCCGGAGCCAGAGCCACCTCCCTTCTCCTGCCCAGCGATGGTGCCCTGGTTCTTTAGCCCAAGGGTTTCCACTTCACATATTTAAATATCGACTGGAACAGTTTAGTCAGAAAACAAAATATGTCCCACAGTCGTCAGAAAATGCATTCCGTGCACAGAATGTGAGGGGGGAAAGGGCCTTGGAGACAGAGCCTCCCGAGGCCTCGAGTCCATGCAAGATCTGTGTGCACCGCTTCTAGTTGCAGGCATCAGGGTTTCCCAGGAAGCCAGGTTTGGACCCGGGCAGTGTCTGATGAGCAAGGGCAGAAGACCCTGAGTAGCTCCTCCTTGGCCTGAGCATTGCTTCACCTACACCAGGTGCCCCTCCGGCACACAGCCATCAGGAAGAACTGCAGCCATCACCCTGTCCTGGTGTAAGCCCAGTCACCGCCCTGGGACAGCCGGCCACACTCCAGCTGTGCCCTGGACTCTGGGCCTTCGGAACCCCTTTCCAAGCCACCACAAAGGCTCAGAAGCCTTTGTGCCATTCACCACTAGTCTTCAGAGGATTGCTGGGGAAAATATAAAACACATTGTTGGTGGCTATAAAAATTCAGGCCCACCAGGTACCGTGGGGCATGCCTGTAATCCCAGCAACTTGGGAGGCTGAGGCAGGAGGATCAGGAGTTCACAACCAGCCTCAGCAACTTAGTGAGACCCTAAGCAACTCAACAAGACCCTGTTTCAAAATGAAAAATAAAAAGGGTTGGGGGTGGGGCTCAGCGTTAAGTACCCTTAGGTTCAACCCCAGTACGAAAAAAAATACAATAAAAATAAAAGTTCGGGCCGTTGTCCTGGAGGCCTGGGCGGGTTTCTGTTCCCCGGAGGCCTCCTGCCTGGGGGAGCTGTCCTCGGTGCTGAGCAGGGCTTCCTGGAGCTGGGCTCTGGCCCTGGCGCTGGAGCCCACTGCAGTTGGGGACAGGAGCCTCACCCGCTGGCTGCCAGCAGGACTTGGTGTTTAAGGGTGCTGCCACCAGCCAGGGCTGAGTGCAGGCGGCTGGCTCCCCCCTCTGAGCCCATGTCTGTGCTGCCTGCAGCGCTTCCTCTCCAGGTGCCTGGAGGTGCCTCCCTCTTGGTCCTGCCTCCGACCCTCCCTCTCCTTCCCACCTCCGCTCCCTGAGGACCCCTGCCCGCGTCAGCCCCACTGGCTGGCGACTGGAAGGGCTGTGTGAAAACTCACGGGTGCACCCCGGCTCTCACTGGCATTCTGAAGCCCGGAGACCATCCCACCTAGAACCTGCTGCTCTGCAGCTACTCACCCATGGCTGAGCCAGGTTGGAGACAGCGGGGGGTGAGAAAACGCCACCCGTCCCAGGGGCAGGGAGTGGGCGCCCCCCTCCGCCGAGCTTTGCTTCCCTGTCACCAGAGCAGCTCTGCCTTGAGCTCCATGATCTCCTTGCTGTAGGAGACAGACGGAGCAGCTTAGTGAGGCCACCGGGACCTGGATTCAACAGTAAACAGAAGCGAGTTGGGATCCTCTTATCCTAAACGGAATCCAGGACTTCTCAGGAGGAAGCAGGCTCCTGGTGGGGAGCAGCTGCAGAGGGTGTGACCCTGCTGCGTCCCACACACTTTCTAAGCAAAGCTCTGTGCAGAGAAAGCACAGCAGCAGGAGCAGTGGACTCTTGGCCACGGAAGGACCTGGGCTCTGGCTTCCAGGTGCAGAGCTGTGAAGCAGCATCCCGAGCCGCGGCCTCCCTGCCCCAGCCCCCTGGGCACATCCCGCCGTGGAGTAGCTGTGCCCTTCTCAGAGCCAGCGATTCTCTGCAATAGCCGAGCCACCCGACCAGCGCTTTGGGGAGTGGAAAGTGGTAGTTAAAGCAAAGCCTTGGTAGACAGCCATGAGCAGTAGGGTTTCCTCTGCACTGATCACTAAGCATGAGATATTCAGGAGGTCTGTCGACTGGCGTGTGCTGCGTGTGTGTGTGTGTGTGTGTGTGTGAGAGAGAGAGAGGGGGGGAGGGAGAGGAGGAGAGGGGGAGAGGGGGAGAGGGGGAGAGGGGGAGAGGGGGAGAGACGGAGAGGGGGAGAGGGGGAGAGGGGGAGAGGGGGAGAGGGGTCGGTCCGGGGAGGAGGGGGACTACGGCTCCAGGGTGGCCAGTCAACAGGGCCTCTCAGGGTGGGGTCTGCACCTGGCCTGCCCGGGGTGTTCTGTGAAGGCTTCTTTCTGGTTCCTCGTCTTCACCCCACAGAGCAGCATTTGGTCCCCTCCCCTGTCAGAGGGAAGACAAGGTGCCCACCTGCTGACGCTGTGCCTGGAGGATGCTCTGGTGCCCAGGTG